CTCTCTCGCTCACCTTCTCTGCCCATCCCAATCTTTTTTCCCTTCTAGGGATTCGGGCATTCCAGAGACACTTTTGCTCTTCAACAGAAGGTCAGAATTCGGTGGTTTCTTCCTACTCTCCTCCTTCTCTTTGCGCGCTTTCGACTTTCTGAAAAGATAAAATCGCTCCAATTTTCTAGTTTTTCTCTGTTCTACTTTTACTCACTTTTCACCCGCAGCTCCCTTCAATTTCCTCGATTTGTTTCAACTTTCCAACATATCAATTTGCAATTACGAATTCTGGTTTCAAGATTCAATCTTTTTTTCTAGACAGTAATTGATGTGAAATTATAATAAAATATGATTTTTTTATTTTATTTTCCGTATACACACCAATATCTTAATCACCATCGCCATCTTCGACACTAAATTACAGTCGTGGATGTGAAATTGGATGCCATGCATGACAGGAGTGTGATCAATTTGATTGGTTTTTCTAATGGCGTTTCTTAATTTTGCTTAATTTTAGCTTTTGCTGTTAGATTGTTGTTTCGATAGACTTATAGCTTATGTTGTTTCCTTATACATGGCAGAATCTGCATGACTTATGAATTGCTTTACTCTTTTTTTGTTTTGTTTTTTTCTTCTTTCAATTATCATTATGTAGTGTATTGATGATGGTCACTTGCCATCTGAAATCAGGTCTTGAGGCTCGCAAGGCACCCGGGGTTCGTTTATTATATATCTCTTAGTTAGTTGATATGGTTCCTTGTATGGATTTCTTGAACTGGCTTGAACCTGACATGTCCTTCAAGGTCCTAACTTGTTTGGATGATCCATCTGATCTTTTTCGCGTTGGTTCTGTCTCACGCTCTTGGCGTCATTTTGGTGAGTTGAATCGGTTTCATATATTCGGTTTCTTTTTTAAGTTTACTAATGTGCAAGTCCAATTGTGATTATGTGTAGCTTAGTGTTTAAGTCTAGGAAAGATATAAAGTTGATTTTTATTGTTGTTTTCACCTAAGTGCTTATATTTAAGTTGTTTGTAGGTGGTGAGTAGCATGCGCTTGTCGTCTTTGCTCTCCATCAGTATTGTGTATATGGATTGATTCCTTTATTAATATTATATCTCCTGTATTACTAAACGAGACTGAAGAGTTTGTAACCTTTAATGTTTTTCAGTGATAGAACATGGTCTTTGTAAAAAGCTGTGCTTGAGAATGTTCCCTCAGTTATCTAGAGTTGCTGGTGTGGTTGAGTTAAACAGCCCCGACGCAGAAGAGTTTGCAGAAGTTGGATCTAGCAATTCAAAGGAATTGGAAACCTTGGAAAGGGAGCATAGGGTCTATGCTTTTTTATCTCGTGGTTTTATATCTTTTGATGTTAGGAGTTCTATTTCCAATGCAATCAGTGCTTCCAGCACTGACAATCATCCGGAAGAAAGCATTCACAATACTCTACAACCAAGAGACCTGGTCGGACGGAGAGCTTCGTATTGGTCGAGTAAAGGCCAAAGCGACCCCGCAGTGCCTGAGTTTCTGATATACAAGTTGGTGTCTGATTTGGTTGTAATTAATGAAATCAGCATACATCCTTTCCAAGGCAAGTGTTTGAATTTCCAAATTGTTTTTGCCATTCTTTTATCCTTTAAATTTCTCTGATTGGGGTCTCTTTGTCTTTTCCCATTTGCAGCTTTTTTCCAGGCAGGTTTCCCAATATATTCAACCAATGCTGTGCGATTTCGAATGGGTCATGTCAAATCCCCTGTGGTTGTAGAGGTTGATTCAAAGGGTGACTCATGTCATGAAAACAAGTTTGTATGGACCTACACTTCAGAAGTGTTCCGAATGACTCAGGTGTGTTCCACCTGATCTGTACTTCTCAACTGCCTTTCTGCATTTGCATCTTATTTGTTGTGAAATGGTTCCTTTAATACTAATGCTCTCTCCTTTTGGGAGGAAGAAATGACGTACTCCTAATGTTTCCACTAATTTATAAAGAAACTTTTAAGCGTAGAAAATGGGCCATTAAATTCATACTACAAGGACAAACTGCAAATTCTGGATATTCTAGACATTTTTACAGTATAGAAATCAGATATTCTGGATTTGAAGTCTTAGATTAGGACTTGTATCATATTTGATGCAGCTCTGAAATGTTAGAATTTCAAGTTTATGATTGACTAGATACTTGACTTAAATAAGCTAATATATGGCATCCTTACAAACAGGAGAACCGCTTGCAGACATTTAAGCTTCCAGAACCAGTTCTTTGCATAGGTGGAATTCTGCAGATTGAGCTTCTGGGTAGAGTTCAGAGACAAGAAATGGACGGATTGTTCTATATATGGTTAGTTTTGCGTTTGTTTTCTTAAAGAGTTATTACCATCCCCCAAATGCTCACCCCAATGACTTGTTGATTTGTTAATGACCATCTTGATGAAATTATTTAACAGGACAAACTTAAAGAGAGAACTAAGTAATATTATAGAAATGTTACTAGTGTTTTTCTACCGGAATCATGTTGCAATTGTTTTAATTACAAATTTATGTTGCGACTCCATTCCTTTTATTGGTCCAATACTTGTCTTTGACTGTGAGGCACATTAAGCCTGTGATAATACTGATTGAGTAATGTTACATAGAATAAGAGATTATGGGATGGGAAACACTGGTGGTGGTAATAGCATCACTTTTTTTCTGTCAGTTGGATATTTGGCTTTAAAATTTTATTGTAGTAAGCCAGCAAAATGATAAAGTTCGCATGGTTCGATTTTTTTATTATAGTAGACCAATTCCCCTACATTAAGAAATTGCTTGTAGATTCTTAAAAAGGTGATATGAATTGGCAGGATAAGTTGAATAACTTTTGTTGGAATGGTGAAAATGAATTGGATTTAGTTGTTTTGATATGCAGGATGGGAAACTGAAATATTTATACATGTGAACTCTTTTCTGTATCTTGTCTTTAGAACAACAATTACTTTCGTTTTCTTTGTTTTAGCTTCAGTTGATCAGTGATGCTTGCTTGTTCTACTATGTGCATGTCTTTGTGCCTGGGTTTGTTGATGCCTGATGATATATTATCTGAGGAAACATGTTTGCTTTTCTATGCATTTCTTCAATTATTTTTCATTAGCGCAATGGCGTTCTAGGATTCATATAGCCGACCCCACTTAGTGGGAAAAGGCTTTGTTGTTGTTGTTGTTGTGGTCTGTATATTCTCTTTTTAGTGTTTAGAAATGTACTATTTGACTCTGATCATGTTATGATCTGATATTTCTGTTAATAAGAAAGACAAATCCCGCCAGGTGCCAGTATCGTGTATCTCAAAGCCTCACACCCTCTTTTGATTTTTATTCTTTGGTGGTCAATCGTCTGTTGATGTACTGGAATTTGACAAACGTAGAACAATATAGAGGGAAAGAGCAGGATTTGGAAGATTTTAGGATCACTAGGCCAAGTAGATGTTTTTGCTGTCATGACATGTGGGTTTTGGGATTGGGACATGGCAATCTAAAACTTTTGTAGATGGAAGCATTACCCCAGGAAAGGGAATTCCTTGATGAGATAGATGAGCGAGAAGGAATTAAAATTTTGTTTGTTTTGACTTGCTGGTTCGATCACCCATTTTGTTATGGCAGAGTGTTATTTTGCATGTTTTCTAATTTTGTGCGCATTATTGGAATCTATTGCATGCTGCAGTGTGTGTCATGTTGAAGTCAAAGGGAAGCCATTATCGCCTGCATTTGGTGTTGAAATTCATGAACCATCTGGGGAGTTTGTGTTGAAGAACGATGTGCAGGCCAAGTTGCACAACCAACCCGTCGAGAATGAGTCCGTTGTTATCTCCACTGTTAATTTGGAGAATATGAGAGACGACATGTTGCCAGTTGTGAATTTGAATGTAGAAGGTATTGCGGAGGAATATGAATGGGAGGAAGAGGAGGGATCTGATGAAGAGTATTTCCTCTAATTGTATGTGAAGAGTTGCGGTTTTTTCATTGATTGTCTCTAAACCGTAGCTTCTATCCTCTCGTTGAATTGGACTTCCGCTCGTCGGGGGCTAGTTTTCTCGAGTGTATTAGCCCTGGCATAGTGAGAGTGATAATGTCATAAACAGTTGCTGCAGAGTTATATTTGAGGTGTTGAAACAGTGATAATATCTGCTAAATGCAAGTTTTAGCTGCTTGTATATTTGAGGTGTTTGAATATTTAAGAACTCTCTCATCATGTTTTTGGTGTATATTTCATTGTTTGAGAATTGAAAATAGGGGTTTTTTATTTGAACTCTAAAACCCGTCTAGAACCTGAAATTATGGGTGGGTTCAGTTTCGTTCGGTTTGATTTTTTGCCGAAACTGTAAACCAAACCGAAGTCACTGTTCTGTTCGGTTCGGTTTTACTCGAATAGAGCAATACTTCCAGTTAAACTAGGGATGTTTGTTGAACCCCATTCAATTTTACTCGAAAACGTTCAGATTTCAGAATTTTCTAATTAGAAATAGATCTTCCAATCAAACTTGCACCTTTGATGAAACAAATTCGGATCAACATCGAAACACAGAAAACATGAAGAAAGGTTTTGAATACAGAAAACACAACCACCTCCAAACAACGCTACAGACCGACCCTCACCTTCACCCTCTTCCCGCTCATCTCCCTCTCTTTGTAATCTACGCTGCCAGCGTCGATCAAGTCCCACCTTCAGCTGGGCGTCGATATGTGTTCTCCGCGAGTGCCGATTCAACTCGGCCGTAGCTCCACGTAGTTGTTGCTACGCGGAAAGGGTAGGGGAGTTGCCGGTTTTGGATGGTGCCTACAACCGCGAGGGAGGAGATGGGGAAGTCGAGAACCAAATAAAATCTTTTGATTCTGAAAAACCTGTTTTCAATTCCTTTTAAGTTGTTTTTAAGAATGACTAAAGGTTTTTAGTTGAATACCAAACAGGCCATAAGCATCCCGTAAATACACCGATTGAGACGTGTTTAACCGGAAATAAAAAGTAATGCTGCTGATAACGTAAACCCTAACGAAAGCATGCTGCTGAGGTTTCAGCAAATACAATTGTCAAACGACTACTTCGTTATCCATGTAAATGAAAAAACATATATTATTTAATTTATTACTATTGCACAGAGCATTATGGACGTTAACGAAGTAATGGTGAAGGTGTTCAAATTGCTCAAACGTTTGCACTAACAAATACTACAATTATAATACGGACACTGATGCACAACGAGCAAACAGGACTTCGATCTTTAGGGTACCTTGGACTTCACCGGTGCTGGGAGCAACTGTGTCACAGAAGCAAAGGAGACTCAGTAAAAAACAAAAGGAAAAACGCCTTTGGATCCGTTGCATATTCATAACAACAAATGTTCATGGAAGAAACTAGTATAAAAACCTGATAACATGAGATCAGAGAAGTAGTAAATCCCAAGGCTCCGGTAACACGAGGAGTAACTTTCTTAGGTGCCAACTGAAGCAACCCAACTGCTACCACTGTGTCCAATGCTGCTTTAACCAGGGCCAGCGATCTCTCATTTGACTTCTTGAGTTTAGCACGGTATTGTTCATTCTGCAGTCACAAAGCCACACGAAAATTGTAAAGAACGTCGCATTCTGAACCATCACGACTTATTTTATGGTCATAGCATTTACAAGGTATGAGGTCAACATACTTGATACTTCTCACTGTTCTTCAGATCCTTCTCTAACTTTTTAAGTTGTCCAGAAATCCTTCCTATCTCCCCAAGCTGATTTAGGAAGCAATTAGAATACATTTTTCATGCCATGTATCTCTCGGAAAAAAAACAATATGTACTAGTAAGGGAAGCATAGTTAGGGAGCAACGAACCTCAACCAAAGTGGTACAAATTGAGGATCCCATCCAACAGAAAAGAGAGATCTGGCCAATCAGATCAGCACGTTCCTTGTTCTATAGCAAACACAATTTCTAAACTTTTACCCCACAAATTGCCACAGAACCCAATAGAGAACAATTGTATGGAAAAAGTATGTGATCATACATACCTTATAGATACCTGTTCTACCGAGCCAGACAATTTGATCAAGAAACAGAAATGTTGACAGCAATGCATTTTTGGACTGTAAAGCATCAGTTTAGATTGTCATTAAAAAAAAAAATGAAGAATCTCGTTTCTAGTTGGAAGTAGATTATATGCATACCTTTCCTAGCAGAACAAGCGGAAGAGGAGTTCCTGGAGCAGTTGGACTAATAAGACCATGCAGATCATTGATGAACTGGAACCAAGCAGACAATTCTTAAAACGTTCAAGAATAGAAAGGCTTGAAATTCAAGTTCTATGACATATTTCACTTAGAAAACTAGGGTGTACCACAAAAATTTGGTTCAAATTCGCCTTTGGCAAGAATCGAAATTAAATCCTCTCACTTCCAAGTGAAGAGGAATACCACTAGAGACTGTAAAACTAAGTGGCAAGATTCTGAGAGATTTTAATTCTTTAAAAAAATATCTAGGGGTATTCAATCAGGATTTTAAGTGATTCTTTGAAATTCAACATGTATTTACTTAGGGTTTTAAGACAGTATATTAAAATCCTTAAAACTCCTGATGTATTAAATTAGGATTTTAAAGAAGTTTATAACATTCATGTGTATTCAATAAGGAATTTATTTTAAAGAACTTTAAAAAGTTGAGAAATTTGAGAGAATTGGCGAGATTCCATAGTATGAATTTTAAGCATTCACAAATCTCACATTTCCCCCTGAGATTTTGAGGGAATTGAATCAATTACATGGAAGCTCTACAAATTATAAATCTATGGATTTCAATGGAATTATAAATCTATGGATTTTTAAGGAGTTTAATTGATTTGTAGAGATTCATGTACAGTTTTGATTTATTTCCCTCGAAATCTCATGGGGAGAGATGAGATTTGTGAATTCTTAAAATACACTAGGAAATCTCTCCAATTCCCTCTAATTCCTCAATTTTTTTTTCAAATTCTTTAAAATCAAATTCTAATTGAATACACCTGGAACGTCATAAACTTATTTAAAATCTTAATTGCATACATCCAGATTTCTAAGGATTTTAATAAACTATATTAAAATCTTGATTGAATACCTATTGAATTTCAGAGAATCACTTAAAATCCTGACTGAATACCTCTAGATTCATTAAAAGAATTAAAATCCCTCAAAATCTCAATTGAATACCCCTTAATTAAACTCCATCAAAATCCATGGATTCATAAATCCATTAAAATCCCTCAAAATCTCAATTGAATACACCCCCTAAAGGTCCTCCTACTAAGCATAGAGAGAGGATAAAAAATACTTAAGGAAGGCCTCATGGGAGGCCTTATCCCTTTTTCCCTCTGGTTCTTCCAAAAAATTAAAAGGAGCATATAGCCACAAAGAATGTTTTAAACAATAATAAAGGGCATATGTAACACAAATCCTAACCTTGAAAAGGCGAAAAACTTTTCTTGCCAAGCTAGTTGATTTGTCAACATTTTGGGCAGTTCCAGGTTCTCCATTACTCAAGAATTTTGAACCATACTGTATTGCCCTGCATATCTTGTCTCTGGCCTCAGCCTTGTTCAGGTACAGAACTGCAAGAGCAAGTTCGGCTCTAGCTGCATCTAGTGTAGTCATCTTTTATGCCTGGACGTAAGGAAAGAAATACAAGTAAAGTGTAATATGAAACAAGTTTGGGAAGCAACTGATAGCATGGAAATCAACACAGTAAAATGGTATGTAAAGAATACACATATACAACACATTAATTTTCCCAAAATAATTATTCTAACCATTAGTCAAGAAATCAGTTTCTTTAATTTTCAATTAAGTTATGACATAAAAAGAAATAAGCCAACTATTCGTTGATATACTTGTGATTTCTAACCCCGAGTTCAATCTGGTTACGAAAGTAAGTATTCATCCCCACCATCTGAAAAACTCTATAAATTTTGCACAAGCTTTTTAAGGCGCATATAAGAACTGTAAATAATCATACAGATTCATTACAAAGAGATCAAAAAACCGTATTGACTATACACAATTTTCAGCTTTTCTGCTTGGCAGTCTAACAAAAAGCTCTAAATCTTGCAAACTAGTCTATCCACTATGAATATACAATACAGTCAATACCCCTTTCAGATGAATTCTAGCCAAGCGCGCACAGGCACAAACACATACAAATACTTTAATTAGCATCTAACAACTATAATTTTGTATTGTTCAACTTCCTTAATTATTCAGAAGCAAACAATTGCCGTGACAAAGAAAGCAAAACGATTCACTAATCATATACAATATCTATCTTTTTACCTTGTCAATCCAAAATTTTGCAATAATATTCTGTAGTCTACCCAGCTGAACTCTCGCTCCAACACACACAGAGACACATAATTTACCTTGTCAATCCAAATTTTGCAATAATATTCTGTAGTCTACCCAGCTGAACTCTCGCTCCAACACGCACAGACACGCACATAATTTAACAGCAATCAATTTTCTTTTTCCTTCACTTTCCGCAGCTCGTGAGCAATCAATAACAATATCAAATCAACGAAATGAACAAAATTAAGAAATACCCAATAACCCAAATCAAAACCCACCAGCCAAATCATCAAAACTAAAAAAAATCACAAAAATAAATAAATAAAGATTAAAGCTTGAGATTCAGATCAGAGTGTGTGTACCTAAAGCTGTGTTCTTTCTGGTTCCTAGAGTGCAGGATGACAATCAAAGGTCTATAATTTGTGATAATCCATCTATAAATCCAGAAAGTAAGAGAGAGAGAGAGAGAGTACCGAAGAGAGTGCCAAGGAAATGACCTCGAAAACAGCAAAAACTGGAAAGGGGTAACCTTTGGACTGCTGGTTTAGAGAGAGACTGTTGGTTTTTTTTTTTTTGTGTTTGATAGGCCGTGATAAATTGATAATGGCTTGTTTGGTCCTCAGCTTTCCGATATGTACAAACAAAATACTATGTTCATTTCTTTAATAAAATATTCATATATCTTAAAACACATGTCATCATCATGGATTGCATTTTGCTTTTGCACCCATTCTCCCCTCTCTATTTTATTTCTATTTCTGTATCGTTTTAATTTATTTAATGTTATTGAAAGAACATTTATTTTAGTTTTTTTTTTCAAGGTATCAATTTTTCTATAATTTATTTATTTATATTTCTTTTTTTTTCCTTGTGGTGAAAAAATCGTAAAAATACTTTGTATTCAAATTTTGTTTAGTTTATCTATGTGAATATTTTAGACATTGAAGTTTGTTAAATCACAACGTTCAAATAATAATCCAATCATCAATTTTCATGTTATTTAGTTTTACAAATTTTGTCTACAAATTTAGTTTACCTAACATTATTCATAAAAAATAAAAATAAAGAAACTACTGGGTATTATGAATTTTTCCACCACATAAATAATCACAAGGATGATCCAGAGATAATACCAAGTTATAAATTAGTTCAGCTGTCAACAATGTGATCAAACTTACAACCCCTAACTATCTTATATTCCAAGTCAATCATTTTGAAAATTCTATGGTGCTACCAAGTATCTTATATTCTAATATTTTTAATTGTTACATTTTGTATCTTTGACTAAAGATTTAACGGTTAAAAATTCAAATATACTAGAAAATATATGCATGTTATTGAAAATATATTAAGTGTTTTATTCAAAGCATTTGAATACATCAAAAATATTGGAATAACCTACATTATTCTGTATTTATACGTAAAGCACATGAAATTGGGATGGTCCCAAAATATTGATGTGCTTTCATATTGATGTGCTTTCACACTTGAACGGTTGAACCTGGTTCTAGATTTTCAGTCCCCCTCATTTCGTTGCTTAATAATTGGAATCATTCAGTCATATAATAGTTATTATCCAGAAAATAGAAGAACTTTGTTTCTCATTTAAACTCTAAATATGTATTGACAAAATTAATCGAACAATTAAATATTTTTTGATTTGGTTGGTTTTTTGCAAACTTGATCTTTAAGGAGTGATTTAGAAAGTAAACGATTCCAATCATCAAGCAACACTGCAGAGTAAGAATTAGAGTCGAGAAGGTAGAATGATATAATTGAAGCGAAAAGATTGCTAACGTTGAAAATAAGTCTCTCATGTATTATTATTGAACAATGAAATTTTGACTTACCATCTATGTTGTAATTAGTTTTTTGTCACTATGTAATTGAATTTGAAGTCTTACACTTGACAGACGTGGTTGGCAATGATGACACATATTTATGATAAATTTTTTTATACAATTTAATATTGACAAATTGGACCAAAAAAGAGGAATAATATTGAGGAAGAAGAGTCGAACTCGAAATCTCGAATGCAGGAGCTCAATGCTCTTAAGGAGTTGCAAACTCTTTGCATACATTTAGGATAAGTTTAATGTCTAATTGTAATTTGAGATGATTTTATCTAACTTTGGACTTCAATGCTTAATTGTATTAAGCACAAATGAAAGTTATTCGTGCAAAACGAGAGAGAGAGAGAGAGAGAGAGAGAGAGAGAGAGAGAGAGAGAGAGAGAATACGTATTAGATAAAGGTTTCAGATTGCTTGATTGGTTTTTCATTTTTCTTGGCAAATTTTTTTTAATCAAAAAATTCATTTGCTGTGTTGTTTAAACTTTATCTAGTTTTCTTGTTCTGGTGGTGATGTATTGAGATGGAGCATTGGACGTTTGTGGCACTACATGTGAACATTGAACGTTTGGATGCAACCACACTTGGAATTAAACTCCATTTCAGCCTTTTGAAGTATTTCCTCCTCACCATCTTATTTTCATTTCTTTGGTTCCTCCTTTTTATTTTGAGATATTTGCTGATATTTTCTTTAAATTTGTAAGGAGCTGTCAAATTTTCCCATGAATTTTAATTTTACCAATTACCTTCTTTACTTTTATAATTGACCAATTTCTCTCCAAAACTTTAATTTTAGTGAACTACGACCCAAACTTTTATAATTGGTCAATTTCGCTACCAAGATTTAGTTTTGTAATTGCAAAAGGTAATTTTATCCCTACTGTGGATACCATATTATTTTTTTTTCCTTCTTCTTCTCTTCCGCTAGTTCACTCCGTACACTTTTTATTTGAGTTTTAGGGTTTAGAGGGAATGTGACGACCCGTCCCAAATTATTATATATATTTTCTCTCCTAGTGTGTAAAGTGACAATATTGCCCTTGTTGGCTTAGTGACGTGGATGTATATGCGGTTCTATTTTATATTTATTACTATCCTTGTCTACCAATTATTTTAGTTTCTATCCTCCCTAGCCAATAGATATTTTCATTCTTTTGGACCAATTAAAAACTACTCTCTCTCTCTTCTTTGCCAATCAGAACTAATCTCTTTCTCTCTCTCTCTCCTTCTCGCACCTTCTTCTTACACCCGAGGCACCCACCACAGCACAACCATCACCAAATCGGCACAGATTGAACTTATAAATACAACCATCAAACTTATCTCGACTTCACGAATCTAGTCGTACCAATTATTTGGGATTTTGACAAGTTTTAACCCTTGGACTCGTGAACGCCGACTCGGTAGTGCTTGGGTCGTCGTGATCGTGGCCGAGTTACGAGACTTTAAGCCTCGAGAAAACATCTACGCAACTCCATGGAGACCCTAGAGTAAGTTTGGAGTAAAGTTGACGTTGAAACAAGTGAGTTTGAGAAGTTTTGGTTTTGGCTAGAACTTTCGAGAGATTTTCAAGCCGATTTTAGTTTGATTTTGGACTTTTAAGAGGTACAAAGTTGTTCTACTCCTCAAGGGCTTTAAATCCATATAAATTTCATGGATTTTGGTTAAGAAATGACAAAGTTATGAAGATCTGAAAATTTTCTAGAAATCCGGCATAAGGATGTCCCGAAGACAGCATTTCGAACTCGTTATAGTCATTACGAGTTTCTGGTGATCCCATTCGGTGTTAACAAACGCTCCAGCAACTTTTACGGATTTGATGAATTGAGTATTCCGCTCGTACCTTGACACGTTTGTCATTGTCTTTATCGATGATATTTTGGTATATTCTAAATCAAAGGCGGAGCATACTAGACATCTCACTTTAGTTATGAAGAAGTTGAGGGAACATCAGTTGTATGCTAAATTTAGTAAATGTCAATTTTGGCTGGATCAAGTGTCGTTCTTAGGACACGTGATATCAGCCTAGGGTATTCTTGTAGACCCTCAGAAAGTAGCTGCAATAGAGAATTGGGAACAACATCGTACTGTCACATAAGTACATAAATTTCTTGGTCTAGCCGGCTACTATCAACGTTTTGTGAAAGATTTCTCAGTTATAGCTCTGCCATTGACGAGGTTAACCCCGAAATGGAGTTAAATTTGAGTGGAGTGATGATTGTGAGTGAAGTTTTCAGCAACTGAAGTATTGTCTCACTCATGTACCTGTGTTGGCACTTCCGGATGATAATGGGAACTTTGAGATTTATAGTGATGCTTCTTTGAATGGTTTGGGCTGTGTATTAATGCAGCATGGTAGAGTAATCGCGTATGCCTCACGACAACTAAAGCCCCACAAAATGAATTATCTCACTCATGATCTTAGTAGCCGTTATTATCTTTGCATTGGAGGCATTATTTGTACGGGGAAACGTGTAGGATCTTCACCGACCATAAAAGCCTCAAATACATTTTTACTCAGAAAGATCTTAATCTCAAGCAGTGGAGATGGGTTGAGTTGCTCAGTGATTATAACTGCACGATTGAGTATCATCTTGGTCGTGCAAACTCCGTATTTGATGTTTTAAGTAAGAAATCCTAGGGTCGACTCAACACACTTTATGCACGCAGTGTTCCACTCTTGACGGAGTCACATTAGATGAAGATTACCAAGGAGCTCTACTTGCTAATTTTCAAGTTAGGCCAATTTTGCTGGATCGTGTACTTGAAGCTCAGGCGAATGATCCGGAATCTTAGGAGTTAATACAAGCAGTGTCTAAAGGGAAAAAGAAGAACCTCAGGATTCAAAGACCTGATGGTATGCTTATGCAGGGTGATCAGATGTAGGTACTGGACATAGCAGAATTAAACAAAGATATACTTGATGAAGCACATATTTCGGCCTATGCAATGCATCATGGGAGTACCAAGATGTATCACACCATTCGACCTTTCTATTATTGGCCTGGTATGAAAAGAGAAATCATAGAATATGTAAGTTGTTGTGCGGTTTGTCAGCAAGTCAAGGCAGAAAGGAAGAAACCTTTTAGGTTATTACAGCCACTTCCCCGTACCTCAATGGAAATGAGAAGATATTACCATGGACTTCATGTACAAATTACCTCGTACGCAGAATGGTTATGATGGTAATTGGGTGATAGTTGATCGACTCACCAAGTTAGCACACTTCATACCCGGTTGAGAAAATTACTAGTTGAGTCAATTGGCAGAACGGTTCATTTCAGAAATTGTCAAATATGGTGTTCTGGTTAGTATTATTTCTGATCAGGATCCCAGGTTCACTTCTAAATTTTGGGTAGCTTTCCAAAAAGCCCTCGGTACGAGATTGCTCTACAGCACGACTTATCACCCTCAGACGGATAGACAATCTGATAGAACTATTTAGACGCTAGAAAATATGCTGAGATCCTCAGTTTTGCAATTTGGCGACGTTTGGCATAAGCGTTTAGCTTTGATCCAGGTTGCTTATAATAACAGTTATCATTCTAGCATTGGCATGTCACCTTTTGAGGCGCTTTATGGTAAACTATGCCGTACCCCGTTATGTTGGTCTTAAGTTGGTGAAAGAGTGCTAGTGGGCCTTAAGATTGTGGATAAGACCACGCAAAATATTCAGGTGATTAAAGCTAACCTAAAAGCAGCCCAGGATCGATAGAAAAGTATTGCCGATAAACATGCCACTAACAGA